TTGCGGAGTTTAGAGCATGGTAAAATTATTATCTTATACTTTACATTACTTTATATTACCTAAATATCATTAACTATGTTAAATTCAAAAATTTTATAATGCAAGGGTGGAAGCACACACTGAAGAGCTGAATGAATTCACACTAGACAAATGTATTCCAGCAACTCCAACAAAATTATCTCCTCCAAGCCACAAAAAATTTACTCAAATACAGAATATAAAAGGCCGATTGCTAGGGGTAACTTATTTAAATTCTATAAATACTATTTATTCGTGTCTGCTATCTTATTTTTCTTATTAATTACGAGTATTTTAACAGTGCAAATACTTTTGGATTAAAGCCAAGGCAACCATCATAGCAAGAAAACAAAGTTACTGGTATATGTCTTGTGCTAATTGTAATAAAGTTAGCCATGCTGATTTTGGTGAGACTTTTGCTTGCATCTACTGCAAATATCCTTCATCTAAGGCTGTTCCAAGGTAATAATAAATACATTCCTACCAATATATACCATATTTTGTTTAATTTGATATATATCATCTTATTCCAATCTTCGAATTATAATAAAGTCAATTTCGATTTTTATAGTGCAACTGCTAACACGGAGCTAGAGGATGTTACTGGAATGTTGATTGCAAGCGCAATTGGTGACTCTGTCGAGATTCTATTAAAGCATGATGCGGAGAGTTTAATGAACAATTCAAAATTGGTAAAACATATATTATTCTTGCTTATCTCACATTTTAATTGTTGATTATTAAATTGCTCACTATATTAATAAAATGAAATTTTCAGGGAAATGATATAAACATAGAAGAATCTATCAAAGAACAAATATTCTATGTGAAAGTCACACAGCTAGAACAAAATACTGCTGAATACAAGTATGAAGTTGCATTTGTTCTCGATGCATCCTCTACTACTACTACTACTACTACTACTACTACTGATACAACAGGAACAACAAGTGACACAAACAGCATTCAAGATGACAGCAATTCTGATATTCATGATATTTCACCGCCATCTGCTAAACGTTCTTTGTACGAACCTTCATCTACTGCTAACATAGATGTTGTGACAAAAAAAAAATGACTTTCACTTCTGGTGACGTTGCACAGAAAGGAAAGCTGGACTAACCATGGTCTTGAATACAACATGAATGCTACAGGTTAAAAGATTGAAGTGTTTATTTTGCTATCTCCATCTAGATGAATCCAGCTGTTTTATTTTGTAGCATCATCCACAAAAGCTTCATCCCCTTTTGATTTGTAAATTAGTTTTCTTTCGATGAATACTTTTGCAAAAAGTGATGTAAAAAGAATGATGATGCTTTTAGTTTGTAACTTATATGATGGAGACTTATGTAATAGAAAATATATGTAAAACAGCCTTTGTTTGCTATTAAATATATCTTTTACCATGATAATGACAATATTAATTTTTATTCCTGAAATTTATAGCAATTAAGACAAAAGCAACATGCCATGCAAGCGGACGAAGGCTCTATGTGCCTCCATCCGCGTGTGCCTGCGCACGGTGTGCCTGGAGGCACGTCGTTAAGACAAGACAAAAGCAGCGTGCCTCCATGCAGCGAATAGAGGCTCTACATGCCTCCATTCGCGTGCACGGAGGCACGCTGTGTGCCTCGGAGGCACGTCATGTCTCCATCCGCGTGCACGAAAGCATTCACACGGTGTGCTTCCGTCGTACAGAGGCACGACATGATTCTACTAAAAATTATTGTTTGGTTCTATGAATTGATGGACTCTTTTATGAATTTTTGGTTCTTCATATTTTAGAATAGATAATCTTCAGGATTGGAGGAATATATGAATGATTAAATTGATATAAAATACCATATCAGGATTGTAGCTCTCAAGTGTTTTAACCTTAGTTCAATCACCCAAATCTATTTCTTAACAATGCATTAATTCTTCATTTTACTGTCTCCTTCTCGCAAGCATATATGTGTATACAAAAACCTTATATATGTGGTGACCATGGGTGAGTCAAGCTTATATTTGCTAAGAATTTTTTTATGAATTAAAAGATACTATTGCACATCTCTTTAATTTTGTTGCAGGACAGTATAGCATCTCTTCATCTTATAGTTCCTGATGTCATGTATACTGTGACTGATTGGCTATTGTATTGTTGCTGGCTTTACATTCAAAGAAGAAATATCTATACAAAGAACGACGCCTGTCAAATGTACAACTTTTCAACCGCGTACGGAAGCACGCCGTGCCTCCGTGCGCATACACGGAGGAGCATGTCTCCGTGCCCATAGACGGAGGCACGGTGTGCCTCCGTGCACACGGACGGAGGTACGGCGTGCCTCCGTCCGCGTGCACGAACGCTGCTCGTGCCTCAATCCACGCTGACGGAGGCACGGCGAATTCTATCAGAAGTTTACCTTGCATAGAAAATTTTTCTCTCGACATTTTTTGGTTGATTTGATTCATCGTAGAAATTGTATTAGTGTTGTTGATCTTGTCTAGAATTTTTCTTCATGCATATCAATTTTCCATTTATGTTAACTTCTAGAAAAGATTAAAATTTGTTCTTTAATAGGATATTTATTTTTGATTAGTTATGAAATTCTGAACCCTCCATGAAGATTAGCACATTTACTTTTATCCATGTAATTAATCAATTAGATGCAAGTGTCCTGCTGCAATTTATTTAGACATCTAAGATGTTTAGAAAAAGCAACTTCAATCTTAAGAAGTATCAGTTTCTTAGTTTTCCATCGACCTAATTTTATTTCATCATGTGCAAGTTCCCTACAAACTAGACTATTGCTATGAGCACCATGAAGATATTAACCTGATATATACAAAAGAAATACAACCTATGATTTTATTTTTATAACTGTGTAAGCCTATTAACCACTTAAAAGACATTTTTTCCTTTTCTCTTAACCACCTAAAAGCCTGCAGACCGCATCACATGCTCCATCCTGACAAATTTTTTTTTTACCTGCTAAATATCTTTCATTTTTACAAATTAAAATTTTTTGTACAACATTCGTTATAGTACATATCATACACGCTAAAATAATATTCTTAGGGATAGAGTTGGTGTTTTAAAAAAACGGAGACACCGTGTGCGCACAGTATGTCTCCGTGTGCCACGGGGTATATCATAACCCCCAATTTTACAGTTATCTGATGCTTCATGTGGCACGAGCAATGGAGCTGCTGGGAACAATCTAAAAGTCTCAGAAATAATTGCTTGTAAATAATGAAGTTTGGACAAATCTGATTCCACGACCAGACGATCATTGCCCACAAGACTGTCAATCTCAGCTTTAGCCCTTTCCAGCTTCTCCTAGTGGTTGAGCAAAGCCGACAAAGCCCATTCTATGGTCACTGCAGAGGTATCTGTCCCGACATTTAACATAACCTGTCATTCACAAATTCACACACCAAATTAAGTTCAAATTCAAATTGTTTTTAATGTTCCAGAAGGACATGAGAAAAAAGAATTGAAAGTTTTACCGTCATAATCCCTTTGATGATTGTATCTGTATAATATTCTAGCTGTGATTCTTGCAAAAAAAGTAAATGATCGATCATGGTATTTCCATTCTTGTTATGGCGATGCTCTTCAATCAGACCTTGCAAGAATGCATCCATCTTCGCACTTAGCCTAGCCAAATTCTTCTCATGCCCTTTGTAGCCTATCCATCTCAGAAGTGGAAGAAAATCTCCTAAATTTAAACCGACACCAAGTGAAAACGCTTCATCAATAAGTTTGCGGAAATGCTTTGCCTCCTTGCTGTCCTCATTTTCTCCAAAATATCGCTTCCCAGCTACCATTCTCATAATAATATTAAAGGCCAGCTCTGAAAATAAAAATTTGAGTTCAACATTTGCAAAGCCACTGTGTGAACTTTGATAGAGCTTTTGCAGCAGACGCTTGATTTCATCTTGTCGTATGGACAGGAACATGTTGAGGCAACTGGAAGAAAATATTTCAAGTGTAGTGAAGCGCCGGAGGTTGCACCAGTGCTCACCATATGGGAAACCAACAAGTGTTATGAAGTTGTAGCCAATGTATTTGCCTCTCTACCATGTATGCTGTACCTTCTTTTTTCTTTTTCTTACGGTATGTTTTTTGGTCACTATTTTTGAAAACTGACTGACAGAGGGTTGATCGAGATCACGTCTCCTTCTGATAGTTTTTTGTATAAGCTCTTTCTCTTTATTCATAAAACTTACTTGTTTTCCTAGAGATTGGAAGATTGATAATGAAATTTGTAAATTGGAGAAGAGAACTTGCATAGATAATTTGGATGAAAAGTGAACAGATCCAGTCCTTAAAGTACGCCGTATACACCCTCTCAGGAGAGTGTCAACTTTGGTGTACATTTAACATTTCTCTTTTATTTATTACATCAATAAAATTAGTTGTACAACACGTGTTTGTCAAATTTGAACTTTGATATAAAAAATAACTTTTAAAATGAATGTGATACTATCAAATATGATGTTATTAACCAATATTGTCTACTCCGTAAATACTTGCTTCATCACACAATTATTTTGTATGACCAATTTGCCCTTCATTCTCGTTATTTCTTTGTTCTTGCATCATTTTCATTTTCAGACGTCAACTACGAACTATTTTGTAGGCATGCCTAAAATCAAAATTATCATAATCTATCTGATCATCAACCCAAACAAACCATCGACTCATCAAGTTATTAGTTCAATCGGTGGGTCACTAATTCAATCGATGAATCTTCATTATACTATAATTTCAATTAAAAAATATTGTTTTAAAACAAATATTTTTATGTCATTTTATTAAAATTGTATGTATATTTCGTTTACATAAATTGCAAGGGTACTACATGTGTCGCAGTGGTCAATATTCTATCCTTCAATACGTGATGCATACAATGGTTCAAATCCCTTTCATTTGCAAATGTAGAATAAAACTTTGCTATGGATCAATTTGGTAAAAAACCGGTTCACATTGAATTGATTCCGATTTTCTGTCAACCCATCAGATTCGAACTATTATTAAAGGTGTGAGCAGTCATTGATTGGTTCATTTGCAAATGGACTAAATA